GCTCCGCATGCCACGCGCCCTTGGGGGTGGCGGGGGCGGGCCCTCCGAACATTAATTTGAGCTCTAACATGCTATGTTAGAGCTCCATTTCTGATCTAACATAGCATGTTAGATCACAACTTGTGATCTAACATCGCATGTTAGATCACAAGTTGTGATCTAACATACCGTGTTAGATCACAACTTGCGATCGAACATGCTATGTTAGATCACAAATGTGATCTACCATGGCATGTTAGATCGCACGTTGTGATCTAACATGGAATATTAGATCGCAATGCGTGCTCTAACTTGCCATGCTAGAGCAGAAATTTCGCTCTAGAGCCAAATTTGCGCTCTAACACGGCATGTTAGAGCACAATTTCTGATCGAACGTAGCATGTTAGATCACAACTCGTCATCTAAGATACCACGCTAGATCACAACTGGTGCTATAAAATCCTATGTTAGATCACAATTTGTGGTCTAACATAGCATGTTATATCACAATTGTGATCTAACATACCATGTTAGATCACAACTTGTGATCCAACATGCTATGTTAGAGCAGAAATTGTGCTCTAACATGCCATGTTAGAGCAGAAATTGGGCTCTACAGCCAACTTTGTGATCTAACATGCTATGTCAGAGCACAATTTGTGATCGAACATCGCATGTTAGATCACAACATGTGATCTAACAGACCATGTTAGATCACACATTGTGATCTAACATAGCATGTTAGATCACAACGTGTGAATGGACAGCGCATGTTAGATCATAAGTTGTGATCTAACATGGCATGTTAGATCACAAGTTGTTCTCTAGCATGCCGTGTTAGGGCACAAATTGTGCTCTACAGCCAAATCTGTGCTGTAGTATGCTATGTTAGAGCTCAATTTCTGATCTACCATAGCAGGTTAGGTCACAACTTCTGATCTAACATGGCATGTCAGATCGCAACTTGTGATTCAACATACCATGTTGGACTGCAACTTGTGACCCAACATGCTATGTTAGATCACACCGTGGATCTAACAACGCATGTTAGACCACAAGTTGCGATCTAACATGGCACGTTAGATCACAACTTGTGATCTAACATGGTAGGTTAGACCACTCTTTGCGATCTAACATGGTATGTTAGATCACAACTTGTGATCTAGCATGGTATGTTAGATCACAACTTGTGATCTAACATCGCAAGTTAGATCACAATGTGTGATCTAACATCGCATGTTAGATCACAAGTTGTGAGCTAACATGGTATGTTAGATCACAATTTGTGCTCTAGCATGACGTGTTAGAGCACAAAGTGTGCTCTACAGCCAAATATGTGCTCTAGTATGCTACCCTACAGCTCACTGTCTGATCTAACATACAACGTTAGATCACAACTGCTGATCTAACATAGCATGGTAGACTGCAACTTGTGATCTAACATACCATGTTAGATCGCAGCTTGTGTTCTAACATGCGATGTTAGAGCACAAGTTCTGTTCGTACATGCCATGTTAGATCACAAGTTGTGATCTAGCATGCTATGTCAGAACACATGTTGTGATCTAACATGCTATGTTAGATCACAGTTTGTGTATTATCATGCTACGTTAGATCACAATTCGTGCTCTATCATGCCATGTTAGACTTCAACTTGTACTCGAACATGCCATGTTAGAGCTCAAGTTGAGCAGACCTTCCCGCTTTTGTGAGGGGGGGGGCCCTTAGCATTATGAAAACCGATCTTCGCCGGTTAAGGGCGTGTTTTTTTTGGGGGGGGGTGCGCGGCAGGGGCGCTTGGAAGGGGGGGGGGGACGTAGCGCGAGCCTTTTTTTTTTGTTTCCGCGCGCCACGCGCATTTGGCTGCGGCGGGGGCGGGCCCGCGGGAAATCGAGTTTCGCGAACATCGATTTCAGTTATAACATAGCATGTTCGTTCACAAGTTGTGATCTAACATGCTATGTTAGAGCACAAGCTCTGTTCTTACATGCTATGTTAGATCACCAGTTGTGATCTAACGTGGTATGTTAGATCAGAAATTGCGCTCTAACATGCCATGTTAGAGCAGAAATTGTACTCTACAGCCAACATTGTGCTCTAACGTGCTACGTCAGAGGACAATTCTGCTCTGACATGGCATGTGTGAGCACAAATTGTGATCGAACGTGCCATGTTAGATCACAACTTGTGCTCTAACATGCCAGGTTAGATAGCAATTTGTGCTCTAACATGCCATGTTAGAGCAGACACTGTGCTCTAACATAGCATGTTTGATCACAAGATGTGCTCTAACATGGAATGCTAGATCACAAGTTGTGCTCTAACTTGCCATGTTAGAGCAGAAATTGGGCTCTGCAGCCAAATTTACGATCTAACATGCGATGTTTGATCACAATTTGTGATCTCACATCGCATGCTAGATCACAAAGTGTGATCTAACATACCATGTTAGACAACAACTTGTGATCTAACATAGCATGTTAGATCACAACTTGCGATCTAGCACCGTATGTTAGATCGCAAGTTGTGATCTAACATGGTATGTTAGATCACACTTTGTGCTCTAACATGCCATGTTATAGCACATATTGTGCTCTACAGCCAGATCTGTGCTCTAGTATGTTACGTTAGAGTTCCATGTTTGTTCTAACATAGCATGTTAGATCACGATTCCTGATCTGACATAGCATGTTTTAGATCGCAACTTGTGATCTGACATACCATGTTAGATTGCAACTTTTGATATAACATGTTATGTTACATCACGCGTGGGATCTCACTTGCCATGTGAGATCACAAGTTGTGATCTAACATGCCATGTTAGATCACACGTTGTGGTCTAACATTGTATGTTCGATCTGGGTTTTTGATCTAACATGCTATGTTAGATCACAAATCGTGATCTAACATGCTATGTTCGACTTCAACTTGTTCTCGGACATGCTATGTTAGAGCTCAAGTTGAGCCATGCTAAGTTTTAGCACAAGTTTTGCCCGAACGTGCTTTGTTAGAGCAGACGCTGTGCTCTAACATGCTCTGTTAGAGCTCAGTTTCTGCAAGGAAAGGCATTTACCGCGGTGTCCTTCCCAGGAGCTCTTCAAACTGCGCAGACGGCAAGGACATGATTCCCCAGTTTCTACCACAGCTCCGTGCAACGAGTTCGTCACCATTGTGCCTGATGGTGCGGCGGGCATCAGAGCAGAGCGAGAGCGGCAGAAAGCCGTGGGCGATAAGGGAAAAATAAAACAAGGCGGCAAGACACCGAAACCACGTAAAGCTGCGCATGAGTTGATCTGCCGGTCTAACATGCTATGTTAGATCACATATGGGATCTAACATGCCATGTTAGATCACACTTTGTGATGTGGATCTCTCCCTCCCTCTCTCTCTCTTTGCCACTCTCCCTCTGTCTGTCCCTATCCCGATGATGATGACGATGATGATGATGATGGTGGTGGTGATGATGATGATGGGGATGATGATGATGACGACGCTGGAAAAAACGAGTGAGCCAGTTGAGCTCCAAACGCCCGCCTTAAAGACAGCCAGTCTGAGGCCGTCTTGGCGGCTTCTGGAGTGGACTTGGAGGCACCTTGGACTCTCATGGGCCGTCTTGGAAGCCATCTTAGACCGTCTTGGGCGAAGTTGGAGGCCATCTTGGCCGTCTTGGAAGCGATTGGGCAAATTGTTCGGTGGGTTGTTCAGCTCTCCGGCGCGCTGGGCCGAAGCTCCACGGGGAGTTCATGTTGGAAAAGGGCCAAAACCATTACCAGATGTTCAGCACGCCGGGCACCCCTTGAACAACTCAACAGAGGGCGGCGGGTCGAATGGCCTTCGTCCCATCCCGCCAACGTGCCTGGGTTGTGGGTCACAGCCCTGCAGGATGTTCGCTGGGATGTCGCGGGGGGCCTCTTGGGGGGCCGTTTTGACGCCTCTTGGGGGCCGTTTTGGGGCCTCTTGGAGCGTCTTTGGGGTCTCTTGGGGCCTTTTAGGGGCCTTTTGGGGGCCTCCTTGTGGTCTTCTGGAGGTTTTTGGGGGGCGGAAGGCTCGGATTCCCCGTTCGTGTTCCCCTCTTCGGCCTTTCTTGGCGCTGTCTTTGGACCGTCTTTGGGGCAATCTTGGAGCCATCTTGGGCCGTCTTGGGGTCCACTTGGGGCCCTCTTGGGCGCCTGTTTTGGCCGACTTGGCACGGTTTTGGGGTGCCTGAAGGGCGGCTTTGGAGCGTCGGAAGTTCGAAAAGTCGAGGACCCCAGAGACATTCCAGCAAGAACCTACGTAATGTAAATTACAGTCAACCCGCATAGTACGTAAGGATGAGCGACTTTCCAAGGCTACCCTTGCATCCTTCCCCTTCGGCCCATCCTTGGCCGCTTTCGCTGGCCGTTCCCCGCGTGCAAACTGTCGACATGGCCTTCCAAGTCCCATCCTTGTCGTGCGTCCTTATTATACGGGTTGGCTGTAATGATTATTGTTTTTCGGAGCCCTCTTGGGAAGGCGCTTCGGGCTTTCTTCGGCCGTCTTGGATCCATCATGGGCGTCTTGGACCAATCGTGCGGCGATTCGGGGCCTTCTTGGACCGTCAACCGTCCGGGCGGCCTGTTAGGGTCCTCTTGGCCCGTCTTGGGGCCCTCTGCGGCCCGAGTACGTCATACGGAAAGCCGCGACGAACCCCGGAAGATTTGGGAATTTCGGGTCCAGTCCCCGTAAAGAATCTAGGCCAAGAACAAGAGGACCCTCCAACTCGTGCCTCAGGGAACCCGTGTCTGTTTCGCGTGTGCCCGAGGAGGATGTCAGAGGCAACGTTAACAGCGGGGATAGGCTTAAGGGGGTAGCGTCGCCTTCCAGGTAGCGTCGCCTTCCGATCGTCCTTTGATTGCTGATAGGGGCCTGATAGCCCACTCCGCCCACGAACGTGCGAGTTCGCCATCGGGGCCTGTCGCCGATCTATCGGCGAAGTATCGTCGGTTCCAGGTCGATGCTTCCCTCCCTGAGCTTGCCCCTCCCCTATCGCTCCCCCTCAGGATGGTGCGTGGCGTGAAGTGGTGGGCTCACGTGGGGGACCACGTGTACGTCGCGCCGTCGGAGAGCAACTTCTTGAGCCAGCACGTCGGCGACTACTACGTCGCGATGGGCTCCGAGAGCGCTCTGACCGATGCCATGCGCCAGCGCCGCGTGGGTGGGCACGGCCGCTGGCACGTGTTCCACATCCCGGAGGCGGGGCTGAGAAACGTGTTCAGTGCAGATGCAGACGTTAGCGCCATAGATGCAAGACCATGAGGCGATATAGCTTTTCGGCAGTGCGGCATCAGGAGATTGCCTTCGACTCCTGAAATGGCCTCGTTGAAGGCTGAGAGTGCGTGGCGCACGATGTATGGGAAAAGCCTGAGCCTTGAGCCCACGTCGGTTCGGTCGGTCAACTAGTTCGATAGCCCCCAAAACGGTGCGGTGACCGCGCCGTGTGGTGAGTCAGTGGGGGCTCGGGGTTGACAGATGTTGTCGTCGGCTCCCGGGGGGGTTCTGGCCTTGGGATGCATCCCAGCAGCTGCGCATCGCCGAGAGCGTTCCGGGGATACCCCGATTGTCCCGAACGGCGCCAGAGACCCGAGTCATGGCCAGGAAACCAGATATTATTCGGAGGAGGGCCGGTGTGGTGAGTCAGTGGGGATCCGGAGTGACCGCACGGTTTTGGGAATTGGGTTGGGTCGTTCTTCGAGGATGTCCCGGGCACTTGGGGCTTTCAGGGTTCCGAAGCCGTGCGGTGACTGGACCGTGCGGTCAGGTTTTTGAGGGTTCCGAGGTCACCGTACGGTCTGTCACTGCACCGTTTCGGGACCCCCGATTCGGTTCTTTCCGGCTGGCCCGATTCTTGGCGGCAAGGAGGGTGATGATCATTGGGGGGAAGGGTTTCATTACATGAACCATAATATTTAATGGGCTAATGGGCTGCGGCCTATCCCGCCACCGTGCTTGCGCTGCGGTTCAGAGGTCCAGGATCAGGGAGGAGGACGAGGAGCAGGAAAAAGAGGAGAAAGGGTTAGCAGGAGGAGGAATTAGAGGAGGAGTATCAGGCAGGAGGAGGTAGGAGGAAGCGGAAAAACATTGTCGAGGTATCCCGCGAAATCCACGCCCTCCCCCCCCTTGGGAAGCCGAGCCGCGAATTTCGCGGTCGAAGGAAAGCCTCTTGGAGCCTCTTGGAGCCTCTTGGGGCCTCCTGGGGGCCTCTTGGGGCGAGCTTCGGGCCCCCTCTTGCGGCAGTCTTGGAGGCCTCTTGGAACGTCGTGGCGCCCTCCTGAGCCGTGGTGGGGCCCTCCTGGAGGCCTCTCGGGCCGTCTTGGAGTGACGTTGCCGTTTTGGAGCGTCGGGAAGCCGAAAAGGCAAGGTCGGGTCGCTTTGGACGGCGTCCCCATCCCCGAGGCCCACGCGACATACCCCGGGCGCGCCCAGCAGCGCCCAGTAGCACCGAGGAGCGTACCTTAAAATCCCATTACTTGTCAGGGCTGCGTGAGCCCTGGGGCACTCCACTACGTGCTGAAGGCACGGTGGCGGATCTTCCCAGGTGTCTTCTTTCTCTACGTCCCCTTGTCCCCTCCCCCGCGTCTGCGCACGGGTCTCTGGAATGCACACCCCCTCTTCTTAGGCCCCCCCTGTTACGGGCGAGCCCGAGATCTGATGCGGGCCGAGGCCCGCGCGGCCCTGTTTGACAGTCTGTCGCCGCCGACCCGCCTCGATTCTAGCTCCGTGCCGGTGCGGCCCGATTTTGATGTGTTCCTGTCCTTACATGGCCGTTGGCACATGAACCATAGCAAACAAACAAACAACTACATACAGTCGGACTTAGGTATAAGATCGAGGTCGGTTCGGGGAGGGTAGCCTAGTGTTTTTCGAGCTTGTTGGATGCTCTTTTGCATCCTGGGGAGGGTACCTTTGGATGTTCAGGGTGCTTTGGCCGACGGAAGGTCTCATGTTCTTGAGGGATGTTCCTTTTGCCTAGGTTCGACTGTACATTAGCATACATCTTGAGAGCTCGGCGCGGATTTCTTCGATCGGCACTGGACCCCTTCTGGCGGCGCCTCCCTTGCCGTCACTGGCGCGCTCCGCGCGCCAGGGAAGGGGACGAGCCGATCCCAGCAACCAGCATGGACTTCCGAACACTTCATGCTTTGCTTTCTTTGTTTACTCCTCTGTCCCGGAGGGGCCGGGAGCGCTGCAGTTCAACCGGCGCGGGGACCGCCGATCCGCCTTCAGCGCGTTGGTGCAGCTGCGTGCGGGCGACGTACTGCCGGCCACTTTCCCGAAGTATAGCCCGCCCGACTGCGAAGACTCGGCGGGCGAGCGCTACGATCAGCTTGAGAAGTCAGCTGTGGGGTCGATCACAGCCAGCAGCTTCCTCGATGAACTCCAGAGGATCCTGGAAATCAAGGATGACACGGGTACCATTACTCGCAGTTTCGAGAACGAGGGCGCCTCGCACGCCGCGCAGGCGTTCGTGAAGAAAGAGTTCGAGTCCATGGGGCTGAAGACCTGCCTCCACGGGCCTCCAGCGCGAGGGGACGTCAAAGTCGCCCAGCTGGCCAACGTGGTGGCAGTCATCCCGGGGACTGGCGAGGGGTCGCTCACGGTGGGCGCCCACTACGACTCCAGGCCCTTTCGGGGCCTCGCTCCTGGTGCAGAGGACAACGGGAGTGGCTTGGCGGCGATGTTGTCCATAGCCAGGGCCTTCGCGAAGCACGGGGCCAAGCCCAGGAGGACGCTGTACTTCGTCGGCTTCTCGAGCGAGGAGCCCGGCTCCCTGGGCTCGGACTTTTTCGCTGGACAGCTGAAGGAGGGCAAGCCGCTGCCCGAGGAGTGCGGGGTGCCCGCCAGCACACGTGCGGGCGGCAGTTTCTTGCAGGGCAGCAGCTTCATGCAGGACTTCAAGACGAAGGGGGAGTTCAGCCACGACGCCATCGTGCTGGACGAGGTGGGCTGGCTCACCCCAAAGTACAAAAAGGCGACGGTGAACCTGGAGTCGTACGATTGGGCCGCCAGCGTCATGGACCAGATGGCGTGCGCCAGCCGCAGGCACAACGGCGACACCATGGAAGTAGTCCACAGTAGCAATCCTTTCGGCTCCGATCATATGAGCTTCCTGGAGCGTGGTATGAAGTCCGTCCTGGTCATCAACGGTGACGACGAGGCGTACCCGAACTACCACATGAGTTCGGACACCATCGACAACGTGAACCCCGAGTATGCCGCCAGGATTACCAAGATGGTCATGGGAGCAGTGATGCGCATGGCCAGGCAGTAGTCTAGACTCGGCTACGAGCGAGGGGGCAAGTGAGAAGGAGAAGGCCTTCTCAGAAGGCTCGGGAGTCCCCCGGCCTTCTAAGAAGTTTTCAAAGCTTTCCCCGACGACACAAGACAATCTCGCAGAAGGCACGAGGGCTTCTGAGAAGTCCCGCCGCCTTCTGAGAAGGCCTTCTCCTTCTCACTTCCTCCCCTCGCCCGCCGCCGACTATTAGAAATCCTCGATCGTTCGAGGTTGAACGTTCCTCGCGGTGCCAGAGTTCAAGTCGGACGTCGTCACAACGCGAACTCGCCGCGAGTGTTTCACCACAGTCGGCCTTGTATCGTAGAGATTTCTGATCCGCGTTCTGTGATTTGGTCCATCGGGTTCGCCGACATTGAAACAAAAGCCCGGCCAATAAGCC